AATTTAATTTAAATTTATTTTTAAAAAATAAACTTTTATAATTTACTTATATAACGTTTTTTTCTTTTTCTTTTTATATTTTCTTTCCCTTCTCTGTTTATATTTTTACCTCTAACCTAAGCCATGTACTTAACACTCCCTCTTTACATTAGCCTCTCACTCTGCATGGCTGCAGTGACTGGTTCCTGCCACCTTTCATCCGCGAAACTCACAAGATGCATCGAGAAGCCGTCTATCAACGCCACAGCGGATAACTACCCGGGCTCTGCTTCGTCAGCTCACAGCATAACATATCCATACAACGTCACCTGTCTCAACGATGTTCCTGTTGCAGGATCGGCCTGCAAGTCCACCAATCCTGACGAAGCTCTTGCATGTGCGCGCAAGTTCATTGACGCCATCGACGAGCAGATCAGCTTTCTGTACGCTCGTCGTCTTGGCTACGCTGCAGTAGCAGGAGCAGCCAAGTTCAACAACGGCACGGCTCTGAATGACCCTACCAGGAACCAGGCCGTCGCTGCCGGAATGGCTGCCAGGGTTCTCAAGTACGGAGGCAGTGAGGAGACTGGCAGGATCATGGGTGGTGAAGGATGTCAGATCTATGCTAGTCTTGAGTATGAGGCTCAGCAGATTCAGACCTGCGGTGGAAGGTTGAACGAGACCTTTGAGAGGGTCTGCAAGTGAGCATCTTCAACATGCGCGCAAACAACGACCCTGTGAGATGGTCTGAGGAAGCATCTTCGTGTAGCTAGCTGTCAATAGGAAAATAGGGTTGATTCGGATGTTAGTGCGAATTTACCTGAGTCTATAAAATTCTCATGATACGAGCCCATGCAGCGGTCTGGCCGATTCAGCGATTTCTTAAACTTTAAGACATGTCTAATAAGTGACCGTTTTCAGGAATGTGATCTAGCGATGACATCTTTGTAATTTCCCATGTTGCAATCGCTTGTTTCAGTGAACTTTAATAAATTATCCTCGGCAATTATCTACCGTAGTCCTGAGTTAAAAACATACGGAGTAATTCTTGGTCGTTATGGCGTCGGCACGGTGTCGGCACGCGAACTGGCACCCGTGGGACATTTCTCAAATACCATGGACCTCATCATCGTTCATTACGAGCTGGCTCCGAGATGGTCGTTTAGACCATAGTTACCGGCAGTTGTTGATGTCGTGTCAGGGCGCTATGCCAAATCGGAGTTTAGCGCCATTGCTGGTTCCTGCATCGGAGATTCCGCGTTCTTGAGGTCATTGAAGCGGGATATACCGGCTGGGACCAGCACGACGAGGACGAGGAGATCGCCGCCACAGCCAATGCTGTCGCTTGAACACCACCTGTGAAAGGGCCAAGCTTCGCATCTTGAACCATTTATCTATATGGCCACCATTGGCGCATTCGATTAAGAGACTGGTCCTGCGCCGTATAAGCTGAGCTGCCCAAACGTACTCCCACCATCATGGGGTTACTACGGTGGCTATATATGCTTTTAATTATCTATACGGGGTCAAGCCATTTCACCAAGAACAAGAGTTTAAAGTTGATTTCAAGGTTCTGAGAAACGCTGATGTTTATTTTAAGAATGCCCTCCACTTTTATCGTCAAGGTCTTCAAGGGAGTCTCACCCTCCCTTCAAGGCTGAGACATTGAGGCTGCTCTCCATACCAGGCACCATCCCTTGAAGGGAGGACACTCAGCCAAGGGATGTCTTGGCCATGATGACAGATCCAAGTTGATTCTTCAGCGACTGGCAATCTCCTCATGAGTCTTCGGTCCTGTGATCATCCTGTCCTTACTCGCGCTTAACCGACATATGCCCTCCATGTCTTTGAGCATGATACCAAACACTCATTTGAACCATGACGATACTCACTCGCTGCCGTTGTCAAGCCGACATGGCCATGCCCAAGGCCGTAGCATGGATGTTACGGCGTCGACTCTGCACAGAAGCAGTCCTCTCGATCTAGACTTCGCTAAGATTCGGCCGCTCATTAAATCGGGAACATACCTTGAACCAATCGACACAAGTGTTCGCACCTCAAGCGACATCCAAGCTGTTTCTCCGACTACACCAAGCGATCCATCAACGCTGAGATTCTCATCCAACGCTGGCATCATCGAGCATTACTCACAGGCTTGGAATACTCAAGACAACCAAAACGATCGAACAGAGCATGACTTTTCCGAATTTGAGCAACTCATTGGCCCAACAGCCGGTCATGCTCCACGATGGCCATTCATCAATGATGATAGCCTAAATACCCCAGACTCTGTAGATGCAGAGCCCTTATTTCCTTCCTCCCGTGCTCCAACGACAAGGCCAAGGCCAATATACCAGATCCACGAAGGTCTAGAAGATCTTGCCGATCTATATGTTCCGCCCATGGACTCAGTACCCGAAGCTGGCGAGGTAGAAGCACACCCTCCGCGACCTCCTCCTACATCCCGAACCGGCCCTGGCAAGGTCATGACAGCGGCTGAGTTCGAGGCTCTACAGAAGCGCAAGGTCCGAGAAGAAGCTGAAAGGCGCTTCTATGGCGGTGAAGAAGAGGAAGACGATAAACTGGACTACGAGGGTATAGACGATACCGAGGTAGTGAACAGACAGAAAGCGCAGCGTAAGAAGCAGCAGGCGTATCTCGATGGCGGCTATCGACAACAGATGATGAAGAGCACAAATGGACCTGACTTCCCACCATTGGTTTCTCACTCGCGAGTCTCTTCATCGTGGTCCATGAAGTCGTTCAAGACGTTTCAAGGTTTGCGAGAAGACAACACCCCAAGGCGTGACCACGAAGATGAGGACGAGGATGTGCCTTTGGCACTGCTGCAGATCCAGCGGCGGTCAGGTAGCAAGGCTCCATCCATCATCAACTTCGGTCCGACGAGGGGAGATTCCATCTCACAGCTCCTACCGATTGACAGCATTAGACAAAACTCACGAACACCAATGCCAGCATTTGCGAGAAGTCTTCCGCAAGATATCTTCCCAGCGGGCCCCCAAACTGCCTGGCCCATGAACAACCAGCAGCTCATCCCAGGCGGTTTGGTCGGCGTGATAGCGAGCGAAGAGCGCGCCAAGAAGGCGCGCCGTGTACCCCCGAGTACCGGCTTCCAGCCTCTGCCCGACACCAACGAGGCTTTCAACTGGGGCCAATCAATGGCACAGCCCGTTGGAACAGCGCATTCTTATGGCCTGCCAGGGACGCAGGCACCGATGGCCTTCTCCAGGCCTCAGACGCCAGTTGCTATCCCTCAGCTGCCCCCGCTTACTTCCAACCAAGAGATGTTCAACTTCTTGCAGGCTCAGACTCAGATTCTGAGATCCATGGCGACTATGAACCAGAGAAGCAATCAACCCGGGGATACCTTCTCAACTCAGCAGTTGGTCATGAACATGGGGCCTCTCGGTGCCGGGTCGACGTATGCGCCGTCCCTTTATGCACCTTCGAACTATGCAAAGTCGAACTATGCACCATCAAATTACGCAAGATCTGTCCATCAACAACCCGGGGGATATGCAGCGTCAGTCGCACCATCAGAACGCAACACCGTTGGCCTTCCAAGTCGTTACAGACCAGTTTCTAAAGCTGTGAACCAAACACCCTTGGGAAAAGCAAACAAGAACGATGAAATAATGCCTCTCGGCAACTGGGATAACAATAGATCTAACATTCCTCGAACTAGTGTTGCCATCGACCAAGATAGCACAGATGATGACGACGATGACGCATTCTGGAGAGCGAAAAGAGAAAAAAGAGATAGAAGGAGGGCTAGGTTTATCCAGGAGACTGATTTGGGAATAAAGCCAGAATGGATTAGCTAGAAAACGTTAGATATGCATACAAATTTAGATGGGCGTAATATGGTAAAAAGGAGAACATGAAATGGGTTGGGATATCATAATTGTGGAAAGAATAGAGGACTATAGTAACCTAATAGAACTAATGATAATAATTCTGATAAACGTATTGGAGGCATTATAACCCTTAGACAGAAGCAAAAGAGTTATGAACTAGGTTTTCAACTCACTTATATGTATAAATCACTTTGCACCTTATCTCTTTATAGAACTTCATCCGGTTAAAGATCAACTCCTGAAGCCAGACTTTTACAGATATGTTCGGACACTACGCTCATAGGCGCAGGTAATCATTACAATATGAAATAGTGTAAATTTATCTTATTCCATCTCACAAAGTATCATCGTATATGAATGAGGGCACTCTACCGCTCTGTTGCCCTGACATCTATTTGTGAGTCTTTATGAGGACTTCTTGAAGATAGCGTGGAAGTCGAAGTATGCTTCGTCCCGGCATTGGGAAACACGGGCGCTGCGAGATCTGACGAAGATCTCGACACAGGGCGAGAGCGACCAGTTGGATCTCCACGGGCTGTGGCCGCCAACGCGTCGAGCTGTGTCATGGTATCGATCTGTGTTGAAGACCTAGATTTCATGAACGAAGCTCTGTCATCAGCCATGAACTGGTATCTTGCATCTGGATTCTTTCGCCAGAACACGAGGGCACTTGATATGATGATCATGAGCAGCAGGATCAGGGAGAAAGCGGCATTGGCAACGAAGAGAACGAGGCCAGTCACGGAAGGACCCATTCGAGGCATGCCGAGAACATTGGTGAAGATGAAGAGGCATATGGCGTTGAGGAAGTTGAGAACGAAGATGGCAATGTTGAAGGAGTTCGTGCTCTTGTCCATGAAGGGACGCATTACGCTGGTGGCGATGAGAGCAGCGGCTTCGATGAGAATGAGGGCGACTGCCTGGGTAACTCCACTCTTCTGGCTCAAAGCAACAAACATGCCCTTGACAAAGATGTAAGCCAGCTGGGGCACGATAAAGTAGTAGCCGGTAGCTCGATACTGGATGTACAAGAATCCCCACTTGTTGAGGATTCGCGAGTTCGAGTAAAGAGTGACAACCGGGTTGTTGTGTCTCGCGAGTATGACAATCTTCAGAGCTGCCACGGTGAGAGTGAGCAGAACTGTGAAAAAGAAGAAGACCGCGAGGACAATGTGCGCAGCCGAGTCAACCTGCGTGAACTCCCAGAGGCAGAGGATGGTGATGGGAGGGAAACCCATTAGGGTGAGTCTGAGAAGAATTCCCTTGAGGATGGTCCGCCATTCTGTTCGGAACTCGAGAAAGCGCTCTCGCTTGATCCACGCCTGCTTAGCACACAGGTCGAGGACAAGCTTGAAGAGGAAGACTAAGATGCAGGCGAAGACAGTGAAAATACCGAAGAAGACGATGGCGGTTAGGAAGAGATTCGTTGTCTCAATATGTGATCGGAACGCCACGCGCTGGATGCCGTAGACTAAATATGAGCCGGTTTCGAGTTCAATATTGCCTCGTTTCGAGAAGGCGAAGTCACGACGGATCAGAGCTGCAGCGCCCGGGATGCTTTCCAAAGACCGTTTCACAACTTGGACCGAAGCAGTAGCGAGATTGTCAAAGAGACGCGCGGGCTTTCCCCCGGTAGCGCGATCATACCAAGTGAAGATATCTTGCATCCAGCCCATTCGGATGATACCCATCGACCACTGGAAGTTCTGCGTCCAAGCATCCACGACTGGCGGCATGGTAACAGCGGTAAGTCCGATGATAGCCTGGGCCTGGAAGTAGGCAAAGAGTGACAAAGTGTTGGCGGCAAGATGAGCAGCTGCATTGCCGTAGCCGGCTAAGGAGATGAGTGCTGAGGAAATGAGACCGATTCCAATGATGATGGCAGTGACCCATTTGACTGAAAGTTGCTCGACAGTCTTGCCAGTGGAGAAGTTGGCCTCGACACAGGCAACACTCTCGCCCGTGGAGGTCATGTTGACATATGCGCGCACAGTGGCATCTAGATCAGGAATGCCATACGCGATGCCAGGAATCTGATCCAAGGCATTGCCAAGCGGGACGTTGAACTTGATGTCGATATCACCGGGAGCCATAGGACATAGACTCGGCAAGTCGAAGCTAGTTCTGCAAGGATCGACGACCTCGTGAAGGAATTGATGGCCATAGACTTCAAGGGTGACATCAAAGTTCACATAGCCTTGAACTGATGCCAGAGCATTGACGTTGATGGTGGCCAGTGAGTTGTTGGGCGTGACGACAACGTGAAAGAGACTGGCAGTCAATAGCGAGCCTTGCTGACAACTGTTGAGAGATTTTGACTCAAGAACCCTGCCGGCCATTGCGGAGGGAAGTTGGGCGAGCCATGAGAATAAGATGAGAGATGGTGTGAATAGCTTCATGACGGCGGTGGATTGATGCGGTCGGCTACCGCTGGAAATTGAGTTGGTAACTGGATGCGCTTGCGTGCTATGAGTTGGGCTCAAGGCTGTTGGATTATATGCGACAGTAAAGTGTGACACTGTGAACCATTGTTGATGTTTTTCGATGATGCGCGCGATGACAGACAGACAGACAGACAGACTTTCGGCTGACGCGGGGAAGTTCGAGAGGCGTTCAGGTCCGGAAAATGAAGCGAGAGTGTCGGAAACTTTTGAGCCAAGCTATCCCGAGGCTGCACAAGATGCTTCAGCGATGGAAGCGATCAAGTTGATGGAACTGGTGATGGCTCAAGTTGGTTGACAATTGAAGCCTGTCGGATGGAGAAACAAATAAAGACGGCAGGATGGAGTCAATTCGACTCGACGGGGTTGGCATGGGAAATTAGAAATAAGCTAACGAGGGGAAACACGCCAACAGTGGGGATCTGGGCTCATCTACCTCTATAATTGGTGCGTTTCTTGTTCCTCAGCATGTTAAAATTGGACGTTGATACGAGGTCTTTGCCAATCACTGACGCATGCGACATCAGATTATCCCGCATCATGGTATTTCCGACCGAATGCCCTCGTATTTGCTTGACTAACTAGATGGGTGAGTAAGAATGTGAGAAATGTGTCAAATCATGAATTGTGACCGCAATAAGCATGTTTTCCCTTCATCTTTTCCCCGCCGACTCTCCTCCCTTGACTCGGTCAGTATACGTCATGAATGCCACTTCTGAGCGACAAAAAAATGGTCGACAGGCAGGCTACCTTGGGCTCCGCCTGTTGTTAGTGCAGATGCCCTAAATATTGTTCCAAGTACAGTGGGGACATTGGAGAGAGTGCTCTGAAATGGTGATTCCCAGCACTGTTGTTGATAACGCTGCACTGTGCTGCTCTTAGCTTGCGTGCACTGCGCTGCACTCGCATTGCCCTTGCGACCTGTACTACCCTATGTTGGTTCAAGCAGAACACCTGTCACCGCAAACCATCAATGAAGAATAGTAATATCTCTTCAGCTGTTACTTGGCCATTTTACGCATAGGTTATTATATTATTTACTAAATGACAGTAAAGTAATCAAATGGACCTGGGTGCGGTTGAGCTGCGAATTGAAGATAAAACGCTGATGGGGGCAGCTCGTGAACGTCTAACAAAACCAATTGCGTAACTGAGCCGCATCAGTGTGAAACATCTCGTGGCCATCAAAGGTAGTATGGACTGTTTTATTGCAGATATGGGGAATCATAAAGCCTCGCCGCATGATTTCCTATTTTGTTGAGGTAGAATCTGAAAGCAGGGTCTTCATCCAGTTTGGGCCCGTTCTTGATGAAATACGTTTTGCCAAAATAGCCCCGGACCGCATGGAAAAACAGGGCATTTACCCAGAACCAGTTTCTTGATCTAGGAGAGCACTCCAAGCGAACTGCCTGATTGAGTTATCGGATGCTTTACGCGATATCCCTGGATGATATGCCCAATCAACGACAGGCATCAAGTCTCGGCGCATAACCTCACCATCTGTACCACCACAACCCGCATGGCGTGTTCCCTACAAATGTTTGACTTTCTCCTCACTTACCTTTTCAACCATCCGAGAAATTTGCTCATTTTGAAGTGCTCCGCCAATAATCACAGTCCCATGTCCTCTCCTCCGGCGCCTGCACTAGTCTCATCGCCTGAGCAGGCTACTCAGACATCGCAGCCAGTTGCGGATGCACATACTCCAGACCAACCACTTGAGCCGGCTGCTCCCCACCAACCTGAACAAGAACCAGTAATCGACGACGATTCTGCCTTGAGTGCCGGAGTGTATGATTTCTGTGGGGGAATCGACTTTGAACCATAGCTGACATCTGCAGAGACTCTTCGACGGCATCTGTTGCTTCAAGTATCTTGGAGTATCGAAAGTTCAAGGGACGGTCCTATCACTCTACCTACCATGACAGTAGCTATCCAATTCCCACTGACGAACAAACTCTTGAGAACTTTGATCTGATGTGAGTGACTATTGCCCGGCACCTCCTTTGGCATAGGCTAGCTACTGATTAGAACTAGGCATCACTTCCTGACATTACTCACTGACGGCAAGCTGTATCTGGCACCTGTAAAGGACGATGTTCAGGTACGGTGGCATTGGTGAGATGGATATTTGCAGGGCTGACGCTTTCCGTGATACAGAGAGTACTTGATGTTGGAACGGGAACAGGTAGGCCACGTCTAGTCAGTACAAGCATACACGATGCTGATCGGTTTCTCAGGAATTTGGGCGATGTTTGTGCCATTGATCTCCCATGTTATATCCACTTACTGAACTTACCAGAGACTACGCTGACGAGCACCCAAATACCGCTGTCGTTGGCACAGATTTGTCCGCTGTACAGCCAGACTGGGTACCCCCGAATCTCAAGTTCGAGATCGATGACTGCACTAAGCCCTGGACTTGGGATGCAAATACCTTTGACTTTGTGCATATGCGCTACTTGTTTGGCGCTATAAGAGACTGGACCGCTCTGTTCAAAGAGGCTTACAATGCAGTCAAGCCAGGAGGATGGGTCGAGTCTTGCGAGTCTGAGCCAATGACACACAGCGACGATGGAACCGTAACAGATGATGGGTCAACCGCGCTGGGAGGAACCTGGGATAAGATGTTCATCGAGGGAGGCAAAGCCACCGGATGCTCCTTGTCTGTCCTTACGGAAGATCTCCAGATGAAGGCTATGAAAGAAGCTGGCTTCGTGGATATCCAGGAAACCTTCTACAAGGTGAGCGGAGAGTCCCATAATATTCTGCGCATACTAACCCATCACACCTGAACAGATACCATTTGGTTCATGGCCTAAAGACCCTAAGATGGCGGAGATCGGCCAGTACGCGAAGCTCAGTCTGGAATCCGACCTCGTTGGTAAGTCCTCGATTGTATCTCATAAGAACGGCCAGTAAGAAAGACTGCTGATGAGTTTTACGTAGGATATTCACAAATGATTTGGCACGAAGTTCTGAAGTGGCCGGCCGAAGAGTATCAGATTTTCCTGATGCAGGTACGAAAGGATCTCCGGAACAAGAAACTTCATCCTTACTTCAAGGTTCGCTTTGTCTGGGGCCGGAAACCTGAAGCCGAACATAAGTAAGTGTCTCAAAGCCATCTGGAAGACAGTGTTGGTATTGGGTAATAGCTGGTACTGCGCATGGCAATAAACATTAGGCTATCCGGCGGGGCAAGGTAAGGAAACTTGGGACCTTTATCCTAAGTGATGAAAAGGTGTAGGCAATCTAGTCTAAGCTTAGGGGACTCTTTACCGAGTTTATTTTAGCATCCTGTTCTAAAGTCTTGTATTTTCTTGCTCCGCCTAGGCTACCTAGATCCGAAAGCCGACTTATGGGTTTAACAGATTCCGCTCTCACATTCTCCCGGTACTGGAGGATCTCAGCTTGTTGCAAGAATAAATAATGTTTTCTGATATTATACGCTTTCCATTTGCTATTTTACACCCTCCAGTCTCCAAGTTAGACAAGCTCCAAGGTGCCGTTGAAGTTTCTGATTCTCTCATCAAGGATGATCGAGCTAAGCACCCAGTCTCCATCTCGGGACAGCTCACCCTCAAGTCTCTGACCTCCATCCATAAGACGAACATGTCGTGCAGAAGATCCGAAACCGCCGCCACCATGACGACCGCCACCAGGTACCTGCAGAGTCTGTCCAGGATAGATCAGATCAGGGTTGTTGATGCCGTTATGTCGAGCAATCTCCTCAAAGGAGCAATTAAATCGAGCAGCGATGCCTCGAAGAGTATCGCCTTGCTGAACTGTGACGGAAGAAGAGCTACCATGATGGCCACCTGCGGACCAACGGAAGCTTCCTCTGTCGTTTTCGAGGACCTTGTCGAGGGAAATCGATGTGTGTTGGTAGTCTCCGTCTTCCCGCTTACAAGAGGCGTGCAGAACGTAGTCGCCGTGAGCATCGAGTCTGATATCTCGAGATGAAGCGGTGAAGTTACCGGCGAAGTGACCACCACGACGTCGGTTGGAGCCACGAGAAGAGCTTCGGCTTCGACTTCGGCGCCGATGGTGGTGAGACTCATAACGATCATCATCGCGGCGCTCCTTCCGTCTCCTCTCCTCCTCTTCCTCGCGTCTCTTGTCTTCCTCCTTTCGTCGCTTCTCCTCTTCCTTCTTCTCGTCTCTCTCATCCTTCCAGTCTCCGGCAGCGTCTTGCAACTTATGACCACCGAAGGCACCAGCCAAAGCTCCGACGATGGTGCTGGTCTTGCTGTGTCCAGTGACTCCACCCATCTTGTGGCCGCCGAAGGCTCCAGCTGCACCACCGGCAAGAGCTCCCATTACACCACGCTCGCCATCGGGACCATCGCCGCCGTCAAACTGGCCTTGAGGTGCTTGGTTATATGCAGAAGGGCCCTGCTGGTATTGCCCAGGTCCAGACTGTCCACCAGGAGGATACTGAGAGGCCTGAGAGGACTCTGAGTAGTAGGATTGTGAGAGACCTGGGCGGTCTTGCTGATAACCTCCTTGTTGAGGACCACTTTGTTGGTAGCCTCCCTGTTGTTGACCGTACTGCTGAGGACCGCTTTGTTGATAGCCGCCTTGGTCACTGCGACGTTGGTCATCACCGCCATATCCTCCCTGGCCAGGACCATCCTGGTTGTACCCGGGGTTCTGCTGCTGGAAGTTGACGTTGTGGCCGTAGTAAGTCATTTTGATAGAAGGTATTTGTATAGCTTGAAATGGATTCTGCTTCATCTGTCGGGCTTCAAGCAGCTTAAATATGTCAACTGCCGAGGCGCAGGCAAAGATGGTCTTCCCAGCCACAGTTGACGTCTCCATCAACCGTCCAGGCCAAACCCAATCGGAAAGCCTGAGACTGGGAAATGTGGATTATCATGAGCACAGCCTCAGAAGATTGAGTGATGCCACGTATTGTCTGCGGAGGCTTGAGCGACGCTTGGCCCTCTTCTCTCTGGTCATTGCTGTCTTGGCGTTTGGACTACCGCTGGCCGTTGCGAATGAAGATGCAGGGATTGGTATTTTTAGAACAGGAGCGTCGTCATGTCCAATGGAACACTGCATATGAGGTGCTGCCACCATCTGTCAGAATCCTTAATGGAGAACTCATTGGGTTGTAACGACACTGTAACTTCTGAGTTTTGGTTTCAGATACAGACGCTGTGTAACAGGCTTGTTTGTTGTTAGTGTTTGATGTCTTTTAACATGCGCCAAGCCCCCAAGCGGTTAAGCCGGCAAATTGCCCAGCATCTGCCCTGTCCGTGCTTCCATGGGGCATCTTGCGGTCTGGTAAGGCATTTTTTAAGGAAGGATAACACTATCGCCCGAAATGATCGTATATCTGTGTGCCAAGGAGTTGTGTAACGGATGTTGTAACTTACTCTAAGTTCCTAATATGATAAGAGTCCTCCATCAGAACGCTTGACTCTTTCGACCACAAGATCTCGGCTCACTAGACATTCGTAAGTTCCAAGGCTTCATATCAATGAAACATACCAGGAAAGCAGAAAGAATCTTCGCAACTAACCAGTACGGTATGAGGGCGCGCATCTATCCCCAAACACCTTGACCTACCAGTCACCTGTATGTTGAAATTTGAGGAAGCTTAGCGAAAACAATGGCGAATAAGCTCGAGGTAAGTCGCAACTGAAAATCTGATATCGATCTTGAGTTTATATAGCGTGTTTCTCTCTTGAGAAAGGGGTATCCTAAACTAACTAGTCATTCTAAACGGTCACCATACGAAACACCATCCTCTTTCCCAACCACATGACGGTAAAGAGGAAACTAAAGAGACAAGAGGCAATACCAAGAACCCATGCGCCTTCTATTGCATAATTAGAGTGCCACTGCTTCGTCGTCGCACTGACTATGTCATCAGCGTTGATCAAGTCAATCCCCTCGCGATGTAGTGTCCTCCAAACGTAGTTTCTTCGGGATACAGGCCAGCCTGGTAGCTCCCAGTATCTCGACTTTAAGTTCAACTTCTTTGCAAGTTGAATCTGATCTGCCAGCTTCTCCTGTTGTGACTTGCTGAAGTATGGAATGACAGTCCCAATGGCTCTAAAGAGAGATACTGAAGCTGTATAAAACTCATTCTCTTCCACTTCGTGACAAAGCGTATCATTTCTCTCGCAGAATCCTGGGTGGGACAGAAGATCCAATGAGGCATCGAGGAATACGTCGTGGTATTGTCGCCACTTTTGCAGATCAGAGCCGATATTCACATCCCGCCTCTTGCCAATACCGCCGGTTCCGACCACAGTCAGGGGACCGGAATGAAATGACTGGTCTGCTGGCGTTGATCCAGTATTTTGGTGATATGAAAGATATCCTTTCTGTCTCAAAGGTTCTAGGTGCTTCAGCACTACTGGCCAAGTCTTTTCTGAGTCGTCCTTGACATCGATGAATAGGATTAGTGTCTTGTTTGGATGGCTAGCAAAAACACCAGCACGGTGTCCCTGGCCCTCGAGCTCACCTGAGGATCTCGGGGAGTTAAAAGAGTCGAGTATCTCCAGCAAGGGTTCAATGTAAAGAGAGTTGAGGGTTCTCTCTGGTGTGAGATTCCACCAGTGATGGCCGACCAAGAGATCTTCACCGTTCTTGCTGAGCCAAACGTCGGCCTCAACACTAGCACAGCCAACAGATAAAGCCGAGAATAAGGGCCGTGGCCTCAAGTAGTCGTTGTGAGAATGAACCATAACTGGAGTAACTTGAGGCGACAGGACTTTAACCCATCTCTTGGCACTTTCTATAGAATCGCCGTACTTCTCGATAGGATCGGCCAAGGCAAAGCCAGAAGTTTCAAAGGTGTGGACAGCATACCGCTCGATAACAAATGTCATTAAGAAGAACGCGATTCTGTTCAAGATGTCAGCCCATATATGCGACGGACAGTTGACTAAGAACTGACAGGATTAGACATGCTCCAGCAAAGGCGGCGAGAAACCGACTCAGCCACTTGCTACGACCTCTTGTGCATGAGCTTCTTCGCAAACAGCCGTATGCTGTGAAGGGCTGCAAGTCGTCTCCATTCGTCGGGCTGGTTGGCCGAAGAGGGCGATACTCAATATCGTCCTTGTGAGTCTGGCTACAGAAGTAGCCTGAGAGATTCATGATTCCTGCAGTAGAGGCAAAGAAACACGGACAGCATGGACACTGGCTATGACTGTAACGTTTTCCACAAGACGAGGACGCATCTTGACGTATAAGAATTACCGAGAGCAATGCGAAAAATACCCGCAAAGTGCCGAATTGATCATGTGGAGGCTTCTGATCTACGACTAGTTCCCGGGTGGCCGTATTACAGCTGGTCTACATCCCACGTGGTTCCACCATGAGACTCTTCACCGACCAATCCTATTCATCAGTTCAACCACGAAGGTTTAGTTTGGACAGTAACTCAAGCTTCATTCAAGGTTTTTGGCGATCGGCTTGAGCAGATGGCTTGTCTAGACTATTGAGATGGATGCGATAAGCACACGTGTGTCGATGAAGGGACGCGATGCCTCACACATGAGTCAAACAGGACGAGGTTGCATCGTAGAAATCACCACTGATAAGAGCAACAAAACAGACTTGACTAGTTAGTCACCTACCTCTACCATGCAGTCTCTCCGGTAGTGCAAGCATGTACTGGAGATCCCTAACTTCATCACCCTTTGCTAGAGCAAACTCAATGCGGATATCTACTGAAGCTGGGGCAACACTCTCACATACGACCAAAGGTAGTGGAAAATACGGGATCCCGTCCGCTGCTCTCCCATAGTCGTCAAGCCACTAACCGGCGGATTAGTAGTTGGGTCGGTGACGACCAGCGAATCCCCGCTGTTGTATGTTATTTTTGCAAAATTTACATTTTTACAGTCTTTTCTCTTAAGTACAATTCACTGCTGGACATGGAGACGTACATCTTTACCCCGCTTTATCATAACAGGCACACTCCTTGCCATGCAGCCTCTACGTAATCTTCTCCTGCTGGGTTATTATGGCAGATCTCAGTCTGTCTTCGTGAGATTGGCTATCCTTGTATCTCTCTTGATGACTCCGAATTGCGGCAGCGTTTTTACAGACCAATTAACTGCCGGCCGTCGTTTACGTTAACCAGTTACAGATCTCCACACTTTTATAGTGCCCAACCGCCAATGCCAACGCAATACTATTTGAGACTTAGTTCCCCAGCCGTTTTCCATTTCTAGCCGCCATAGCCCAGACCAGCGTTATGCTATAGAATAAAACAAATACATACCTGTTTTGTCACTGTTGGTCGACAACGAATTACGTACCCGTGACTCATAGGACTTTAGGCAGCAACCCCGCGAGATGTCATATCATATATATACATGTCAGCTTTGCCTTCAAAGTCACTTCTAAAAAGCCCAGTATCACCTTTCATTCTCAGTCAGTCATGCCAAGCTACTCAAGTGACCAGCTCCTGAAGGATTGGCGGTACGCCGTCAAGCAAGACTTCACTACATCTCAGGGGAAACCCTTCCCTTATGCAGAGAACGGCAAACAACAATGGGATGATGAGATCAAGAAGGTCAACTTCCAAAGGCAGCCTCATGTTGGTTCTGTGAGCGGCGACGGAAAGTATCTTGCTCTCGGAATCGACCATGTCATCCATGTAGTCGACACCCAAAGCTGGAACACAATTGCAGTTCTAAGGGGCCATAAAAACAAGATTGAGACCCTTGCGTTCAGGTCTGGCCGCTCTAATGTGTTGATCTCGAGTGAAGAGCAGGTATATGACGATTCGGGGCATACTGAGCCACCTATTATCATTCTGTGGAACATCGAAGAAGAAAGGTCGGCACCGAGACTGGATGACGATCAGTTACGAAATGCCAGTCAGGCAGCTGTTTCTGGTGCTGCTGAAAAGCTGGCGGAAGCCGGAATTAATCTGAGCAAAGACGAACTCCGCCACCTGGAGGGGACTGTTGGACCGGCTGTCAGCCGTACTGTCTCCAAGCACATAGCGGCGAGTAAAGTGACCATAGAAGGTCGACTACAATCAGCTCATGAGTCTCAAATTTTCAGCGCTACCGGAAATTGGATGACATACTTGCCAGGAGAGTCACCTGTCTCGAATGGCGACGACCCATGGGATATCCATATCGTTTCCTCAGACGATCTTTCCAAGGGCCTACTCCTGAAGGGCCACACTGATGCAATCCTGTGGACAGGATGGAGCCCTGATGAATCGGTCTTTGCTTCTGTATCATGGGACGAGTCCATCCGTATTTGGGATGCTACTACAGGAGAGCAAAAGTACAGATTCAAGACCGAGGGGCAGAACTGGGCTGGTGCTTTCAGTCCTGACTCGAGCTACTTCGCAGCAACGGACGGACTAAGCAATGTGTGGATCTATTCCCTGACTGACGGAAAGCAGCACTGGGTCTACAAGGGACAACGTTCTGATCGCTGGAGAAGGACTCTTGCATGGCACCCAACCAACCCGTGGCTTGCTGTGGGTGGAGAGAGCAGCGGCGAGCTACTTCTCCTCGATGTTAGCGGGAAGAAGTTACTCCAGAAACGACTATTCTCTACAGATGCCTGTCCAGTGGACAAGGAGTCTCGCGATATGATGGAAGACTTTGTTGGGACATTGGAAGTGAGGTTCTTCGATGGTGGAAATAAGCTTGCGGTTTGGACTTTCGGTGATTGGAGTATTGAAGTGTACGACCTCAAACAGGAAGTTAAGTGGCGGTTTGCAAGAGGTGGAACAGAAGATGGGCCAAATGCTGGCAAGTGGAGGAACGATCAGGGTAAGGTTACTAGTAAGGGGGGGTACGAAATGCTAGCTTGGGAGGACCACTCGAACAGTTCCCTGTTTCTTGCCAGTATCGACTTCGATGCTCTCCGCCTTTGGGAGGTACCGCTGACAGCTTGAGCCTTTTGTGTGGGTGCACATGAGCTGGTTCAACACCAGCCATGATGTCGTTACCCGCCCATCTTCCATTCATCAGAGGCTGCTAGACGTCCCTGAGCACATCCGTGGAGGTTTGGCGCTGTTGGGTAGCAAATAGTGGATTTATTATAAGTCTAGGATAAAATAATGATGGACAATGCGTATTATCTAAAAGATCAATTAATGTTCGCAGAAGTTCCAACTCTGAGCTTGTTGTCCGACGCTGTCGCTGTTTACAACCCTTCGCTCTGATATCAAATCTTCTCTGACCCGTCTTGCCTCATCTATTGCATATGGATAGTCCACTTCCTGAGTTATTGCATCTCGGATCTCACTAGGAAGGCCATTGAGCGGTTCTGACTCTTTGAGCTCATCCTTCCACCAATGCTTTCGCTGAGGGGGCACGTTGCCTGTCGAGATGATCGGGATGACTGGGTCGACAAGGAACAGAGCGACGATCTTGCGATGCCCAGAGCGAATCTTGTCAGCTAACTCGAAAGGTTCAACTCGATGTTGATAGATATGAGGGAAAAATAAGGCTCTGCCTTCTTGTGTCAAGACGCTCCCGAGATCCTGCATTTTATTCCCTTTAGCTTTGATGGCAAAGATCGCTTCAATGCCATGGTAGTCTCCCTGAGAGTAGCTAAGCCGGTCTGCGAGGTTTTCTCTATCCGCCTGAGTACGGAAGGAAAGACGAGACTCGGTGATGTTATCGCTGTGGTAGTAAAACAGGGCCGTGGCGCAGATATGTTCGTTGAGTTGCCCTTCAACGTGCCACGAGCCACCATCATACGTAGATTTCTCAGGATTCAGCTGTATGTTGGCCATCTTGATAATGACTTGAATCTGTGAGGAACTATTGAAGAATCCTCCACTTCTGAAGTGCGATGCATCGAGGGGGTATGTGGCATCGTCTAAGGGTTCTGGGCAGTTGATCTTGTGAGTTTCTGACCACCATTCCCTATTCAATCTCTCGCCCTCTTCAAATACAGAACTAGTTTCTGAACCACTATCGTAGTCCTCGCCTTGGGCGAACAACCTACTACTCGGATAGCATCCATGCATCCTCGCACAGATCTCTGGCACGTTGCACGTCCACTTGACTTCGTGAACGGTTCCGAATCTCTTGAACCTAAACTCCTTGCGAGCTGAACGGCAGACAATATCCCAAGTGGGAAGGGATTTCGCGAGGAGTTCCTCGATGAGAGAATAAACGGCTTTGTATCGGACAGGGTGAAGATTGTTGATGTAGCTCTTGATACGTGGTTGTTCGCCTACCAGATAAACATCACATGGAAGCCATTGGTATCGTAGTGACAAAGCTCTCTTGTCGTCATCTCCAGTGGAAAATTGAAAGCCATCCGGCATTCTGAAATGCAGCCTCTTAGGCTCAGGGATGACCTTCCCCGAGCCGCAATGATCAAGGCACTTGTCCAGCGTTACATATTTGTCGAAAACAATTCGAGATCGGCCAAACACCAACGGCCAGAGTGAGGGGTGAACAAGGTCCAGAACCTTGTCTTCGCTTCCTGGATGCCAGTCTTGTTGGGACGCAGGGACGTCTTCAAGTAATGCAGCCACAGCTCTGAGCCCCTGCATCAACTCGTTGGGAAGAATCGCGTCTGACTTGATGGCACAAGAAGAAGATTCCATCACGGGAATCAGCTTCGTTTGTTCGTAAATCTTAGCCTTAGCCGTAAGATCTCTGAAGCACTGGAAAGGCGTCAGTCACCAAGTACCATCGGTCGGTCCTATTGGTACTCACCACGTCTGTCATTTTGCTCGTAAAATACCATTCTGCTGATAGCTTGCCCCTGGCATTTGTTGCGCTTCCTGCTTCCATTTGCACACGATATCGGTATCCAAGACTTTCTCCCACCAATGCGGCTTGTTTGTGATGTCTTCCTCCAATTTGAGCATGCAGACTTCACGGTTCATGAGTGTTTGCGATTTCCAATCCTTCTCAAGCAAGCCAAGAAGGAAAGACTGGCGTTTCTTGTTGTCTATGCCGAAACTCAAGGGGAGACCATCTCCTGGAAGCCTGAGAACGCCATCTCTCTTCTGAGCTCAACGGGGCAGATTAGCGCCTGATCTTTGTATTCGTATTGATCAGTCAAGCTCTTGAAGGCTTTGGACCTACCGATGTGCCATTCAATAGTCTGTGTAATCAGAAACGCTCAATGGTATTTCTGTGAGAATTGTCATCTACTATGGGTTTGCCGACGAGTTCATGGTATCTTGTGTGCACTTCTTCCATCGTGGGCATAGACTCCTCAAATTCGTCAATCCAAGCAATCAATTGAGCGATTTCATGGTGGATGACAAGTTCTTCATCCACGCCCCATCCTCATAGTCCGAGTCTTCCCATTCTTCGAAAATGCGAGTATATACGTACTCCTCGCCTACCTTTTGAACCGAGTAGCGATGCATCTTGAAGTTTGGCAAAACTTCGGTGAGAGGGTTCATGGGAAGTTGCCCTCGTGATTGCTGGTTATTTTCATCGTCGGTTATGCTGCCTATGCATGGACAACTCTGCGCTTGGACCAGACAGGACTCAGCCCCATCTGGATACACTGTCTGTTGGTATATTTGATTAAGGAAATGAAGCTTGCCTACAGAGTACTGATTGTGTCACTCAGAATTTCTGCTAGGATAGCAAGACAGCAGGCATGCATGTTCAAAGACTGGACTGTTGGGTCAGCCATCAGTGACTTGCTCTTTGAGATGCGAGTCAGAGCACTCTGGCTCTGTGGCTATGGTGAGGCACAGCACAGCACTCACCGGGCGAGGAGCAACTGGCATTAGGTACTCCAGGGTGCCAGAATAAACTGGTTAAAAAGCTTGGGGCGTGATACTAAACAAGCTTGCTAAAGCTTTTAGTCACTTCAGATAGAGGCCTCAGCGGGATAATATTTACTCCGCTCTATCGGACATTCATTCACTGCTGACTGTTTCCGATCGACAAAGCCTCGAAGCAATTTGTCCACTCGTTTTCGACGCATTTGTGGAGACTTTTGCAGTCTCGCGCGACAGAGCCAGCGAAACGCGAGGTTCTTGAGCGGGGAATGCTGATTGGCTACAGTGCCCCGAGAATCGAGCGAGATGAGCTTCAAGTCTGAAGTTGATGATGAGGATTGCGAATACAGCGAAGACGAGTTCAAGGCCTCAGTTGGAGATCAACGTAATATATATAAGGGAAGGCAGAATCGTCAGTTTATTTCTAATTCATCATCATACAAGAGTTATATTCACTCAACACATCAACATCAATCTAATTTGACACCGCCCTCTAACATCTAATCACCAACACAATGGCCACTCATACCATCCGCAAAGTCGTCTACTCTGCCTACGGCGGTCCCTCCAACGTGAGCGCCGTCACAGCTCAAATCCCCCCTCCAGCAAAAAACGAAGTCCAAGTCGATGTCATCTACTCAGGCTTCTCTGGCGCCGACATCCAAATGCGACTTGGCACATACCCCATGCAAAAGGCGGCACCTTTGACACCCGGCTACTGCTTCGTTGGTCGCGTCAGCACTAATGGGGACAAGTCCTCCAAATTTCGCCCTGGTCAGCTCGTTGGCGCTCTTAGCGTGTACGATGCTGAAGCTCAGAAGATCAATATCCTCGAAAAGTACTTGATCGCTATTCCTGAGAGCGTTGATATGCAACAGGCGGTCGCTGCCTTTCTTGATTGGAACACTGCTTATGGTCTTGTTCATCGCGCGACAAATTTGGTCGGCAAAGGCCAGCGCGTCTTCATCCATTCCATCAGCGGAGCTGTTGGCTATGCCATTATGACCTTGTGCCTGCTGGAGGGCGCTGAAGTCTACGGCACCGCTTCAGAGCGCAACCATGAGTCTCTTCGCCAGCTCGGAGTGACACCCTTTACCTACGCCAACAAGAACTGGGTCAGTGACATGAAGCAGCGCGGTGGTGCGCACGTAGTCTATGATCCCATTGGCTTTGAGCACTACAATGATTCATGGGACATTCTCATCACCGACGAGCCCTCGCGTCTTGTCGGTTTCGGTGGTAACATGAACATTCTCCAAGGCGATGACGCCAAACCGCGATCGCAATATGTCGGAATGGCCAAGCTACTGGCCAAGAATGGCTGCTTGTTTACCAAGAGAAGCACATCATTCTACTACATTGACCGCGATCGCGCGACATTCATGGAAGATCTTCAAGCCGTCGTGAACATTCTCATTGATGGAAAGGTTGAGGTACCGATCAAGAAAGTCTGGGATTTGGAGAATGTACGGGAGCCCCATGAGACTTGGGGTAAGGTCCCTGGAATGGGATCATGCTTGATCCGTGTCGACCCCAATGCTGCTTGAGCAGGGAACATTGGCGGAGGATTGTAGATGACAGTCATTGTTTGGTTGATAGCATTTTCTTGATAGATTGCCATGTATACGATCTTCTCTTTTTCTTTTACATGACGACCCGCCATTTGTCTACCGTGATTTTGATCTTGAAGCGTTCTTAAAGTAAAAGCGTCTTAGCGCTATAGTGCCTCGCATGGATTGCCCTTTACGGGACTAGAGGCTTCGAACTTCACTAGCTGCTCCCCATGACAAGAGTTGAGTTAAACAGAATCACTGATTGATCACCAAATTTCGCTTGCAAGCATGACAAGACCAAGATATAATTTCTTACTAGCTATCAGAATTTGCGCCAAATCGTTGAAGCGCCTTGAATGAGCTTCCATTTTGGGCCTTCTCACCAAGTATGCCAAGGTATATATAAGTCTCCCTCTATTAATCCAAGGGGGCTTGTGGCGTAACGGTTAGACGTCACTGGCCTGACCAGAAAGCTGACTAGGCAGCTAAAGGTAGTAGGTTTAAACCCCATAGCTCCTAACCCTAAAACTAAAAATCAGGGTCTAATTACTAATAATTACCCTAGCTTATACTTAAGTTAAGTTAGAAATTATAATATTAATATAAAAGAAGTTAACTAGCTAATAAGAAGGCTTAAAAAAGTAGGTTTATTAAAAAAGTTATTTTTATTATAATCTAGTTTAATATATAATAAAAAAGAGGTTATTACTTAAAGGTTTTTTCCTTATTAGTAAAGAGTTAGGCTAAGTATATATTACCTTATAGTAAATCTAAAATAGAAAAGTAAGTCTATTATATAAATAAAAGTATTATAATAGGTTAGAAAGTAAATCGTAGTGCAAGATACGCTTAAATTAGCAGTATAGCAATAGAATTACATTATATTCTATCAATCCGAACCTCAACATGAACGCACAACACTACACTATCCCCGAAATTGCATATCTTCTCGATGTCAGACCTAAACGCAGTCCTCTTGATCACAGGGGCCTGGCACGTCATTAAACACTACTACAAACTCGTCCATGAGCTGGAGAGCCATGGTATAAGAGTCATCTGCGAATGCCTTCCAACAAACAATAACGCTGTACCACCAAACAAAACAATCCAAGATGATATCGACTTCATCAAAGACATCGTATCTAAAGAGGTTGCAGCAGGCACGCATCTCACTGTCATTGGTCATTCGTGGGGAGGCATGATAGCTTTTCTGCGGCTTTGGCGAGCTTTGCTGTTCCGCCCGAGTCAAAAGAAGGAGGCGTCACTGACATGATCTTCATCGCCGCCTTCGTGCCATCGGAAAATGATTCATTGGCCGGCCTCTTTGGTGGAAAGCTACCTTCTGCGCTTGTTCCTGAATCTGACGGGACTCTGGTGCCGACTGATCCTATCCACCTTTTCTATCATGACGTACCCGAGGAAGAAGCCCAATGGGCCAAGAATACAATGGTCGCTCATGGAACGAATGTGCAATATGCTACTATCAATTGCGATAAAGTGGCATGGCGTGTTATTCCACTGACGTATATTATCTGTGAAGAGGATCAGGGACTGCTCAGCTTTTTGCAAGAGGGCATGATTGAGAAGGTTGAAGAACAGGGGGTCATCGTTCAGAAGCATCGGTTGCCTTCCTCTCATAGCCCTTTTCTGAGTATGCCCAAAAAGCTTGCCGGTATCGTTTTGGAGGCCATGAACTCAAGATAAATGTCAAGAAATGTACTTAACTGCCATGCTCAGTCCAAGTCAAGTTTGACAAGTGGATGCTAGAGAGTATGCCGAAGCTCACTGAAGAGAAGAGACAATTTGACTTTCAGAGATAGAAAGAGCGAGAGGGGACAAACTTAATAACAAGTTGTAAAAGGAAAATAGGATGTAGATTGAAGCTTGGTAGACTGTAAGTAGAAGTCAATTAACAGAACCAGTCTTACCTAGTCATTATTGCCATCCATGTAAACGCATCTCACTTGTTAGCCAAGCATGTCCACTTCTGGCTCCCAGCAACCATTTATTTTAATGGAAATTATCAATCTAGAATTAAATACAATATGAGGAGTCATACGTCATACTACTACAGAGTTGTACCAGCTGGACGTAACCATAGGTCTTGCCATTACTGACTCAGTGAGAACTCAGTGAGTGACATGATAGCGCCAACCAAGACCATAAGCCGCTGGAACCATAGAATTCATGTAGCAAACCGCTGTTTCTAGATATACAGCAAAATAAAAATGCAATGCAAGGATAATTATACACCCTAAGCAAAACGTCTTGTCTGCAGTGTAATTTCAATACTTCCCCCATGATTCAAGTCATAGATCTCCCATCATGGTAAAGCGGCTTGAATACATGGCTATAGTATCCTCGAGAAGCAGATCCATCTGCTGTAGCAACTCAATCTCAACTATCGTTCGCTGCTGTTGCTGCGGCTGTTCGATAATCAGGAGGCAGGGCTCCGCCTTGCTGAGTATGCGGTTGCAATGGAGTCCGAAGCGCCGTGCGATATGTCGGAACTTTGCTAAGTTCAGCAAATTCTTCTGGGTCGGTAGACGCAGTTTCTGACGAGCTGCGTGATTGGCCGTGACTCTGGCTTGACTGTGATGATTCAAATGTGTTGAAGCCCTCGTATGCCTGACTCTCATTCGAGTCTGTGTGATGAGGAGTGCTGGTACCAGACCCTTCTCCCTCGCCCTGGTGAGTGCCTTGGCCAGGAATCTGCCAGTCCTCAAGACTGTCGTAAAGCTGGTCGAGAATATGTTCTCCATACACTGGTGGGCCTATTAATTCGCTCGGTGGTCCTTGTGTACTAGGGGCTTGGTCTATCAAGTTGCCTTGGTCGTCAAGAGTGATGGACGGTGAAATGAAGATATTAACCGGAATGCCCAAGTCAAGCTTAGAAATTAGTATTTGAGCCCGCGTGGTCATAAAAAGGCTGACTTACATGAGAGACATGGCCGTCCTGGTTCCGAATGGGTATGTGTATCTTGAGTTTGTGGTAGACCCTAATGCCTTGTGCGTCGATGTCTTGGATGCATTCACTTAACCTCTTCGGTAGCTGCAGTGTCTTCTTCATGACCCATCCCTCTTGACCTGTTTCCTCTATAGTATCCTGCCAGTATTGCTCTCTTGACATCTCAAAGTCCCATTGAGAGATTTCGCGCTTGCTTTTGTGCTCTCTTGTGTAAATGTAGTGTCTGCTGTGCATGCTGAACTCTTGAAATTCCACCAAAGTTGCGACGATCCTTTCGATTTCGAGTCCTTTGACCAGCGGCGTAAATCGTGTGTCAAGAACAATAGACCCTCCGAAAACAGCAGCTTTTGTCGGTATGGAGACAGAGTAATCGACTTTGTTGATCCATGTCTGCTCGACGCTCATGTTATGCATGAACTCCAATGCAGTCGGTGCAAATGTGCGGATTATTCGGAGCTTCTTGGTACAGCTGATATGTCGAACCAGCTTGCCTCTGCTAATTGTTGCTCTCAAGCCATATGTGATGGAAGCATCCCGGATACCCTCAAGGCTCTCAGAAGTATCTCCCGCCATCATCAGTTCAAAGGGCCACTCATAGTTGCCAGCCGGTAGAGTGACGCTCTTGCCACCTGTTTCCAGCAATGAAGGCCATTTGTGCTTCATGATGCTGGTGTTGTGGGCCACGCCGGGATCGTTGAGCCATGCGTGGCGTACAGTCCCATCTAGGCGAAGTCTGACTTCATCGAGCTTGAGCGGCGACTGTAGACACAGGACTACGACGCCCTTGAGTAATTGATCTGTTGATTCATATCGGCTGCCCCAAAAGACAACAAATTCGCGTTCAAGTCTTGTAGCTATTTCAGCAAATACTCAAAAATTGTGTTGTCAGGATGCATACCTAATCTCGAAGAGGGAATACGGTGTTGATGCTACGCCACTGAAAGCAGCAGCGAGAGGCTGGTTATTGTGTTGGTTCGTGGACGCGGCTTGCATGATTCTGACAGACGGCTATGCAAGGTTTGAAAGAGTTAGTTAGTACATTTCTCCAAAAATGAGGCTGAAGGATTTTCGCAATAAAAGAACATGTCGCTGTGATTCCGTTGGGGCAATTGACATAGGTGTATCTCTGAACCTCGGCATCCGCGTGGGCCGATAGACGATAAGAGTTTAGCTGGCCATGAGCTGATCTGACGATGCAATTTAGTCCGGCACGGAACGATCGGCGACAGAATCAGCCCGATGCATCAACATTCCATTCTGATTCACCCCGTGACACGGCACGTCCTAATCTTGTCTTCACCCGCTGAGGTTTAGGCTGCGAGGCCCAACAGCGCCTGGATTTGCATGTGATGGGATCCGCACTTACACCGCGTGTCTTGTTGTGATTCCAGAACATTTATGCATGAGAGAGAACCTTGTTTTTAATTGCATATGAAGACTCCACATTATTTCCATAATCTCGAAAACCATGTGAAGAGTATTTATGGACTGAAAACTCGCTGCATGTGCCTTCGAGTTCTGTTTCAGCTCCTCATATGAAGAGCTGGACACGTCACTCACCAACGCATAAGCTTACTGTGTTGCACTTTGTCTTATCATGTATAACGTCATCCGCAAGAAAGGGTAATAGGCCTGACTTCAGTATGGTACGTCTTCATGCAGGAGCCTCATGAATTGCTGGTTACTGTGGAACCAATCCCCAATCTGGAACGACGCATCGTAGTCGGCCCCGATGGCAACCCCAGTCGCGCCTATGTCATCCACAGTATTTACTACCTCGGGATCAATCATCGTGAAGTCACTTGAGCTTGATAGAGATGTGCTGGTGTGTGAAGGCTCAGGGCATGCTTTGGCGCTGAGTCGAGCGGCTTTGCAGAGAAGTTCGTAAAGTCGATGAGGATGCGTCACGGGCCCTGAATGGCTAGACTCCGACTTGAACGATGATGCGAATCTGTCTAGGCGATCCAAGTCCTCCGCAATTGAGTATCGCACGGCATGAGCGAAGACGATGCTAAATGGAAAGAAGGGGGTATGCAAGATAGCCCTGTCAACTTCAGCTGACGGTAGGAAATGCGGCTGAAGAATAGTCTGCTTACCAGTTTATGTATCTTCGTATTAACAGGGGATCTTTGCACCCGTTGACAAGCTTCATGCACTGATCATGTAGGTCCAGGGTGTTGCGAGCAACAGTGAGACAGCTTTCGTGGACCTCCATACCTTGGGAGCTAGGCAACACCCTGAGAACCATAGCCGTCAAGGCTGACTGGCAAACTAGATCGCAATGAAGGTATATGACTTTCATAGGGTCATCATTCATGTCTCTATTCTCCGCCAAAGCTTGCTACATACCATGTTAGCCACAATAGCAAAGTGGAAAGGGGTACCACATACTGCGATCTCGTGATGGGTCTCGTCTATGATCGACTGAAGCTCCTGTGCAAGACCACTAGCTACCTGGCAACGGGTAGCGTTCGATGTGTTCAAGCCCTCGGGGCTATATAGCTGGTCATATGCCTTTCCCTGTATGCGCCCGAGACGAATGGATCGATGCTGGTTTTCCTGACGGGTAAACGATACTTCAGAGTCACGAACACCAGAGCATCGTCCCAGCCTTAATGAAAGGCCCTTTTCGTATGCGTAAACGACCCAGAACAAGTCAGACTGCATATTTTGATGGTCATCTTTGCACGACTTGAGCCGATGATAGCCCAGAGTCTGACATAGTGTCATTGCAGTCGAGATCAAGGTCCACGACTGTGATGCTCGGCTTTCCTCCACGGAGTAAATTGCCTTCAAAACGTTAGCTTTTGTCTTGAAACCATAGGTGATGCGAGCATACCCCGAGAGCAAGCGCGGCGATCAACTCCATGCATGGCGTCGCCAACAGAGTCAGTTTCGCGAGACCGTCACCAACCTTGGATCGATAAAAGCGACAGTATTCTTGTGATTTCATATCTCCATGTATGACTGCATGTTCAGCAAACACGTATGATAAGAAACTAGTTGCGATGATAAACTCAGCCTCAGTGTGATCCTCGACGCGGAAGTGGACCTTGTTACAAATATCTAGAAAGACATCGAGCGGAAGGAAGCGGCATATCCAGACTACTCTATAATCTCTCGAGTGATCTAAGATTGTCAGTATTGATATCAAGAAGCATGCGCTGACTTACCTTTGACCCATCGCAGAATTTGCACGACGGCTTCCAATGGGGGCGTCAGGATGCTTTCCAGTGGCTCATGAGGTTTTGGCTGTTGGCTTTGTGTCATATGAGGGATCTCCAAAGCATCGGCAAGGCTCTTCAACGAAGAAACGGTGCTGCTCCACTCAGTGTCTGCTTGAACTGAGAGATTGTCCCGAATAATGGATTGAACAAAGTCTATGATATGGGCGGAGTGATCCCAGCGAGGAGGCGGAGCAGCTCTATCAGGGGGTCGGAGGTTCCCTGAATCATTTTCTTCCGCTGGATTTGAAGATATAGAAGCGGAGGGATGTTGCTCTTGTGGTGTTTGAGCTGATGTCACTCTGTTCAGGTCGAATCCTGCCAACAGAGTCTTAATGCTATTGAGGTCACGGGAGATATCATCAATCTTTCGCTCGCTGTTTCAGAATAATTAGGCCTAGAACGCTACAACCAACGGGACCGTAAATACTATTGTTCAGAGACCAAGACTCTTTGCCTAGCGGTGCTTTGCTTGGGCGTGATCCGACTATGAGTGCAGTCGACGCGGGCTGAAACACAGTTCGAACAAGGCGTTGCTCTATCACATCCGATCTAGTAAATCTTAGGATACGGCAATCATATTATAGATTGAAGGTACCTTTCTAGCTCGGCATTGATTACACTAGCATGCATGTCAGTCGACGACTCTGTGCAGTAATTAGTATTAGGAGATTTGCATGGGTCCATACCGAGCGGCGACTGATTGCAGGGCGGTCTGAACCTCCCTTCTCAGTCGGAGATGCGCGCGATTCCATGTTGATTAGTTGGTCGATGGAGGTTTGTCATTGACAGAGACTCAGTCATAGTGTTATGAGAGAGGAGATGGGTCGGGACCTGTCGATGACAAACCTCTCGGAAATGCGCGGATTTCCAGGTATTGGTCAGTTGTGGAGTCAGCCTAACCAATCAAGACCACCATCATATTGCTGTTCTTGGGGCTTGAAGGCGGGTATCTAAAGATCGAGAGACAATCCCTATAAAATGAATGTTTTCTGCTCAAGGGGAAATATCCACAACTCTAGTAGTTGGTAGCTGAACAACAATCTGCAATTATCACATCACGTTTCTTCTTAGCATCATGCCTCACAACGTCCTTGTTACTGGAGCCGCTGGCTACATGTAAGTGAGCTATGTCGATTGATCTCCCCCATACTAACGGTCAGCAGTGGTGGTTCTGTCATCGCTGATATTCTTTCTCGTACCGATGAGACGTTGAAGTCCGTCAATGTTTTTGCGGCTGCTCGAAGCCAAGACCAGGTTGATAAGATTTCCAAACTCGAAAGAGTCCATGCCTTCCTCGTCGACCTCCAAGATAGGCCTGCTGTGGAATATGCAATTGCCAAATATGAGAGTAGGTTTTCGCTTTCTTTCCAATTTTATAGTTCTGACAGTTTCATCAGTCGACATCGTCATCCATACAGCTGGAGCCATTTTCCCAGACATGTTATCGAACCTGCTCAGTGGTCTTGGGGACCGCCGCCGAACTACCGGCAAGAAAACATACCTGATTCATGCAAGTTCGTCCCACGTATATCTGAAGTCTCCCTAACACTTTAAAAGTCTTCAGTTGCGTCCATGTTCACCGAAGAAGGTGGATGGCCTTTTGGCAAGGTCAAAGATTCTGATCCCCTCATCGACAGGCAGAGGGAACTTGGCCTTGACAACCCTGTTCGAAAGGTGAGCATGGAAACCAATAAGAGAGATAGCTGTTCATGCTGACTAAATCTAAGACAAATATTGTTCTTGCCGATGAAGGGAAGACCCAGGGCGTCGAGACTTTTAACATCCCGATACAGCTCACTTGTAGATATCCTTTACATTGTCCAATTTGTTACATGGTACTGATATTGGCATAGATGGACGTGGAACTGGCGAGTGCAGAAAGCTCTCCGTCAACATTCCTGCTTTGATTCGGACGAGCATCAAGTTGAGGACGGTCCACAAGTTCGACAGGGACTCAGTAAGAATCTTCCACCCTTCGACCACCTAGAGATTTAAGTCTAACAAATGTCAAGACTCCTGGAAATGTGCATATCTCCGATCTTACGGATCTATACATTCTCATCCTCAACAAGGTCCTGAAAGAGGAGCCCATCGCTGTTGGGACAGATAGATACTTCTTCTCAGTTGCGCATCGCATCAGCTGGTGGAAGATCATGGATAAGATTGCCGAGGGCCTCTACGCCCGTGGTCTTGTCGACGAGTCGACACCAAAGATCTGGCCCAACTACGATATTGCAGCTGATGCCCTTGGATTTCCACGAAAGTTCATTCGTCCCATTTGCATGCCCAAGTAGGTTTCTCTTGACCTCACAATGATGCAAATGCTGATCAGTCTCAGTGGTGATCTCGAGCCGGCGAATGGGAATGCTTTGGGTTGGAGGCCCAAGCAGGACAGCGAGCAGAAGTGCCTTGACCAGATTGAACAAGAGATCAAGGATGTTGAGGAGCTGGATACTGTCAGAATGGGACTTTTCGATACTCTGATCGCGGAACAGAAACAGTAGATTTCACTCTCCACTTCTGGAGATCTTTCTCTCAGAATCGTCACGTCGCCTTTAGTACATATAGAGGCTCGGGGAGGAAAGAAAGCCCGGCACTTCGATCCTACCTAAAGAATAAAAAGACACGGGTAACTTGTTACAAGTTTAGGGTAAATTTAGGATACCTTTTGCTGAGTTTATCTTGTACCTTATATTGGCATATCCACTGTTTAAAATTGATAAGAATGCATCATATTCAGAATAGAGACGTCCATGGTGAAGTGTGTGGCAGTGTTGACGGTGATTAAAAGCTTCGCGTTAAACCCGTGACGATAACCTCTCCTCAGGGAACAAGAAAGCATCAGACTGATATGACGCTCTTGATAGCACTCTTCTGATGAGATCACGGCGCCCCGAAGCCATTAACTGACTATGTCATTGTGACCAACGATTGGCAACGGCTCCAGTGCCACCACATACCTTTCTAACGTCGATTGACGTCGAATCTGCATTCCCTTGAGCTCCGTGATTCTAGATTAGTTAAAGTGGTGGGAAGATCAGTGCCGATCCTCAGCGGCATGCGGTATGTGAACAAGTACGTCACCACGACCTGTCAGTCAGCAATCACTGGGCGTCACGTTGCTTGGAGGCAGAGACGGCTTCGAGTGGCTTTGCGTGACCGATAGCCATGGCGGCGCCTTGAAAAACTCTTACACGAATCACGCGAAAGGCCTGCGACTCAGGTACTGAACGAGTCAAATCGACAAAGTCTACCAGGCAAACAAAGCAGGTTAGCTATCAGTCTGTGTTCCGCTTCGATGTTAAGCACTTTTCTTCCGTCCAACAAGCTCACATCGAGTCTTGGCCTGTGTTCTCGCCCTTACATCGGGTTCCTGCATCATGCAGGTGATGCCACTAGACCACCACGGACCTCCCCGCAAAGTTCAAGACGCCTGCAATAACGCGATGAAAGCCCCAGATCAGAGTTAGAACCATACCAAAGACGATCGAGGACCCCTTCCTATCAAACCTTATCTGCCCTTCCGATCTATCAGACCGTCCGGACAAGGAATGCACATGTCGTCTAGCAAAACCTAACCCCAAGCCTCCACGGGTTCCGCGCCCTGGCTAGTAATTGTCAAATCACTTACGATTTGCATTTCATGACGCTAGGCAAGGCTAGAGTCAGGGCGAATCGCCACGAAAAGCGCCGCCGCATTCCAGGACCCTGTCCGCATCCAACTTAGTGCCGTGGCCTTGCGGAACAATAAGACAAGGACGCATCCATTTCGTGCCTTTGTTTTCAATCTCATTACAATTTTGTCTCACCTTGTCTCTCATTCTCGGTGCAGTTGAATACATTCCTTATACAAAATGACTCTGACAAAAGCCTTTACTCCACCTACGGGTACAGCCGTGATCGTACGTTACATGTCTCACTTACATCGCTTGCGTCAGTGTAAGTGAAGTCTGGTTACTGATGTCTCGCAGGGCACAACCTTCTGCCTTATCGCTTTCGCGGCTGTTATTATTGCTACGAGGTTCTTCTACCGACTGAGAATCCAGAGGGAGAAGTTGGCCACAAGTGACTGGTTTATGGTCCTGGCATTATGTGCCGCTATATCGTGTGCGGCATTCGACGTCGTGTTTTACCATCTCGATGTTCTAAGGCCTCGAATCAGTGTTGGTTTCGAGAACTATAACCCGGGTGAAGAGAAGGTTGAGTACATCTACAAGGTAAGATTCGTGCAAACATGTAAAATGCGATAGGGACTAACATGCGTCAAGATGTCCTGGGCGAGCGAAATCCCCTTCTACGCGACAACATATCTATCCAAAGCAATTCTTTTATCTATGTACTTCCAGATCTTCCCAGCCTTTATGGGAAGGCGTCGTAAGACACTCTGTATCACTGTCTTTTACTGTGGGCTGGCGTATGCCGCGACTCTTTGCATGCAGCTCTTTTCTTGTATGCCTATTGAGAGGCACTGGTATGTCTTACAAGATGTCTCACTTGTGGGTCATTGCTAACATCTGCTAGGGTCATTACTCGGCCTCTGACCGCATGCGACTGGCGATGGCAGGGTATTGTCTTTCAGGTCTCTTGGGCTTTGTCTTTCCTGGGCAGTCTTCTCCGTGCGTTGGCAACATATCACCTCTCTTAGTCAACCCTTTCGCTAACATAGTGCAGTCTTGATACTCCCATTCACTGTCGTTCATGATCTCGATTTGACTAAGCGAGCCAAGCTTGGTCTGTACTTTGTGTCATTGGTCGGTCTTCTTGACATCGCCATCTCTCTAGTCCGATTCCTGAACGTGGAGCTCGGAGACAACGGGTCGTTCCGCTCCTTTAGCACAATCGGTAAGTTCTATCCCCGATGCACATTCCCCAAGATCGAGCTAACCCATTTGCAGAGCTATGGAGCTCCCTTGACGTCAATATCGGCCTCATCACAGCTTGCCTCCCTTCCCTCTCAATGCTCCTTGGACGCACCAGGAGGATTGACGACTACACGTTTGATGAAGCCAAGACCGCAAGGTCGTCTCGTGCCATGGAACATCGCGAGCTAGAAGAGATCGAGGAGTCAACCTACCTTGGCGTCAATAGTGTTGGGCCCTCAAACAGGTCTGCCAGAGTCTCCCAGAATGGTGACAAGACACCGGAACGGAAGGCCGAGCCTGAGCGATCTTGGAAGGATCATGATGATGGTGATGATACCGACTTTGAGCTTGACAACATCAACGTTGAAGCTCTTACCAAGGACCAGGCACAATCGTACTGGTCCACTCCCTAGTTTCCTTTGTCATAGATCTGTACTATACTGCCCCAGCCATCAGAAGAGTCGCCTGTTCATACAACCAGATAGTCTGTAAAATATTGTCAGTGCCAATATACAACAATCTTTCGCCACGGAAGTATCTTAGATAATTGCTGTCGCGTGGTATTGTCTGTGCTATGTGTAAGGCATGCGAAGATATTGCGATACGTCGCGACAAATGCTTGGCCCATATATGTTCTAATTATTGCATTTTTATTCACTTTGCGCATGAAAACAATCGCAAAGAGACATTCGTTTAATATCAGGTTGTATTAGATGCTCTTCCTGGGTTCCGAGCATATGGCCTTGCGCAGCCGATGTCCGTTCATGGAACAAGCCAAACCAACGCGTCGCGTCGCGTGATTCGGACTCGAACCCAAGCGGAACAAAAGACGGTTCAAAGGTGTAGGGCTCTCAACTAATCCCGATTGGTTTTATTGCATCAAGATGACCTCTTCCTGTATTCCTCAGGTCTCGGGTAAAGTCTCTACGTTCCTGGCTTTGCCATGAATTGTCACTTCTTCGCCAACCTGTCGCGTGCATGTCGCGTCCCGCTGAATGGCCAAGCAGCAACATTGGTACCTCTTCACAGTCGTTTTGTCACTATCTCTCTGACCTTATTGAGATCCAATGCCTCTACAGTGCGTCCTTTGTATCCAGTCATAGTCGTTGCCATACATAGAGCATTACAAATGGCTTCCTCGGTCGCGTCAGCAACAGCCTCAAACGCGCCATTGATCGTCTCGTTGTGCACAGTCCCAACCTCGAAGGACGTAGGTTTGAAGGGGTCCAAATCTCTGCCTTCGAGACGTTGCATGGGGATCTTGGCAGCTGTAGAGAAGGCCAGGAAGATGTCGCCTGAACCGTTGCTGCCATAGCCGCCGACGCGTGACAGTCCTACAGTAGCGCGCTTGGCAAGTCGCTGAAGTTGAACTGGTAGCAGAGGAATGTCTGTAGCGATAATGATAATGATGCTACCGTCGACGTGAGGCCCGTGAATCGCGGACGCTTCTGACGAGGAAGGCGCTTGAGCTTCTGCTATCAGGATTCTTCCAACTGGAACACCACCAATGTGAAGGTCTTCCTTGAGGCCATAGTTGGCTTGAACAAGTACACCAACGGTGTAATCCTTCGCGTTTCCGTTGCTGTCTATTCCAGGCACAATACGGCTGCTGGACCCCGTACCTCCCTTGAACCGATGGCATATCATTCCCGTGCCGCCTCCAGTGCAACCTTCGGGTACTGCATCGGCAGACGCATTGCGAATACCTCGGACAACATGATCTGGAGTCAATGCAAAGCGGCTTTGCTTGTTGAGGTATCCATCGTATGTCTCAGTCACAACAGGGAACGCGAACAGGTTCACATCACCCTCTTTAGTCGCATGATACTTGGTGGCATAATCGTACACGCCCCGAAAGGCGTCTCCGATCGATGAGTTTGCCGTCAGAATAATCGGTGAAGTTAATGTGCCCGACTCGTCAATCCAGTGAGATCCTGTCATCTCCCCAGAGCCATTGAACTTGAAGATGGCAGCGTGGCATGAGTAGTCGAACCAGTCTGCTCGGGGCAGAACAGTGGTCACTCCAGTATTGACATCCTGGTCTGGCTGGATCGACTCGGTGTGAACAAGGACGCCTGGGACATCGGTAATGGAGTTTAGATGACCCGATTCCCATCTGCCCAAGTAGAGCTCAGGCAGGAGTTCGCGGAGACGAACTCGCTTCGAAAGATCCAAGCCGCCACCCATGTTGATTATACAGTCGGTACCTTAGAGGCTTACGGAGTAGAGGCTGTAGATTACGAGTGATAACGCAACATTTAGTTATGGCAAGGCAGGAGGATATAAATAAAGTCATCTACTTCGGTTTTCGCATTTCAACAAAAGTTCCCGCATTTCGGAAAGCCTTTTTTCGGCTTTGGATGCCTTTCCAAGGCGTAAGCTGACTCTTGGATGATCCTTCTATGGAGACCTCGAACCGTGGAAGAGGTGAAGTACTGCAGTGCTTACCCTAGATAAGAAGGTGGTTCAGGCTAGAACTCTGGGTTTAGCTAGCAGGTACGGGTGATTGCGACTATACATATGAATAACTGCTTAAGTACTTATCCTTAACCAACCGCACATCAAGACTGCAGAGCAAATGTTGGAATTACGACTGTTTGTGTAATGTTGGCGAGCCTCAAATGGCCTTGAGAAATCCGAGTTGCAGGGGACATCAAGGAGAGCTGCTCTGGCGGGTTCAGGATTGCCTGATCAGGATTAGTGGATACTGTTATCTGTTAAGATCTACTTCTGTCCACCGCTAGCCACAGCGATGATACTAGTACATCTTATTGGTGTATGGCTTATCGCCTATCCCACTGGAATCCACTGAAGCCCGCCCTGACTACATGCCCAAAAGCCTCCAGGCGTCCAGAGGCATGTGCATGTTTTGGCGCGACAGCAACCAAGTGTTGGCTCATCTCGGGATCGCGGTGTCGCGGGTACTGCGGCGCTCCCGACCGAAAAGCCCGCGCAAGCTGTTCTGACAAACTGAGCGAATGTTAGTCATCTCAAGCCGGACAATCCGCATGGCTTTGCCTGGTTGGTGACATGCCGTGGCAAGCCCCGGAACAGACGGAAGTTCGGGGCCAGACGTTAGTCAACGGGGCGGGATGACGTCTGCTGAGCTGGGCTGGGCTGGGCTACGCGTTTAAATAACAGCCAGTATTGGACTCAGCTGAAACTCCATGTAATCCCGCGCGTGATATTGCAGTTCCCTTGTTCTACACATTGATTACCTGTAAACTAGATTCTTTTCGAGATGCAGAAAGTCAAGGCCAGGCTCCCATCATGGGACACTACAAAGACCACGAGCAAGAAGGGCTTTGACAAAGTGTGGGGTTGGGCTGACAAGCTGGGTGCTCCAATCAATCGACTCTCGAATCGTATCGGCAGTGAGGCATTCTGGCCCACGACTCTGGACAAGGAGAGTGATAAGGCCGCCAGAATTTTGAGGTCCTTCTGCAGTAAGTCAAACCCCAAAAATACAGCTGAGTGAAAGGACATTCAGACTGACCAGATGACAGAGGATGGCTTCTATACCGAGGAGGAAAAGCCGGCCGATGGCGAACAGGCTGGTCCCAAGCAAAAGCAGCGCGTCTTGAAGAAAATTCCACAAAAAGTGATACAGAATGCCGTCGGTCTAGCCATCTTCACTACCATGCGAACCGGTCTCTGGGTATCTGGAGCCGGCGGATCCGGAGTCCTCGTAGCCCGAAATGAGGAGGATGGTTCATGGTCTCCTCCATCTGGAATCCTGCTGCACACAGCAGGTCTTGGCTTCCTCGTCGGAGTCGATATCTACGATTGTGTCGTTGTCATCAACAACCGCAAAGCCCTGGATGCATTTACTAAGATCAGAGCGACTCTCGGAGGAGAGATCAGTGCTGTTGCCGGACCCGTCGGAGCAGGTGGAGTGCTGGAAAATGACGGCAAATGGAAACAAGCCAACAGACCCGTCTTCACTTACTTGAAGTCAAGAGGTTTCTATGCCGGAGTTCAAGTTGACGGAACAGTCATCATTGAACGAACCGATGAGAATGCTCGCTTCTACGGACAGGAGGGCGTTAAAGTGGCAGACATCCTCGCTGGCAAAACAAGTCGCCCTCCTGAGATCAAAATGCTCATGGAGACGTTGAAGGCAGCCGAGGGTCGAGAAGATGTCGACCAACAATTGATGGAAGAGTTAGAGGGACAACCTGCGCCAGGGGATGTCGACGTCGAGGCTCCCGGTGAGGGAACAGTCTTCGGTATCCCAGACCCAGAAGATCCCGATCCGTATGGTGTTCTCGCCCTCGAGAAAGAAGGTCTCGAGATCCGCGATGCTGCAACTCACTCAAGGCCATCAAGTCAAGCCTTCGAGTACAACCCCAGCCCCAATAGTCCGACGTACAAAAAGTTCTACAGAAGGAGTCTAGAAACAGGAACGAGGAGCAATCGAGATAGCTATGCCTCAACGCCGAGCAGGACATATACGACATCTGAGGCTAGTACGCAGACAGAACCTGTCCTGATAACGCCCATCACAAGCACGACGCCGGAGAACAAGAGCTTGGCACATCCGGAGAAGCTTGATGACGACAAGTCCAGCATCTACGAGGATGTTCGGCTGGAGGATGACTTTCGGTCACCGTACGATGGATCATCACAGTCGCCGTACACTACGGTTGATAGCTTCATCACACCGCCTCCTGGGCCGCCACCGCCGCTGCCCGCTAGAAGTCCTGTTGCGTAGTGAGATCCTTTGATAGAGAGTGTTTTTAGCTAGGCGTAGGGATATTGGAGAAAGAATCGAGTTAGACATGCAACGCTAGTGAATTAAGAGACTAAATTATATATCCTTCGATCCAAAATGTCCACGTTAAGCTTCGTATCTGTAATCAATACTCCAGTTCGGTCTATCGTTGTCTAATTAGTATGAGAGTAGTGCGGCTCTCCTGGCTTATTACCGCCTTCACCCTCCTCCTCATCGGAGTATATAGGTGGAGGCGGAGACTCAGCACCACGAGACCGCACAGGTTTTCGTCGATCGCGCCACAATAATAACTGAATGAAAACAGTCTCCAAAACTGTGCACATACGTTAGTACTCGTGAAGATATGGAGGAGAGGGAGTACTCGCTCAACAGTACTTGCAAAATGGTTGAGTACGTGTATCCCTTCCTTGCAGCGGGAAAATCCGTCGTTTTCCACATAAACATGGGCACCTGTAGCATCAGTATCGGAAACAAGGTGCCAAATTACTAACTTACAACTGCCTGCACGACATACGCCAAGTCGTTGGCTATGGCAACGATCAGGGCTCGCTTTTCTGTGTCGGCAGAACATATCTCATTGATCCAGCTGAGGATCAGGGGACCGGCTCCGTGCTGAGTCTGCGTTAGATAGATTATCAGGAAAAGGATGAAACGTACGCCAATGTTACTAAGCCAGTAGACAACCTTCCTTCCATCAACATTGGAGTAGAGTGGCATGTTCAAAAGGAGGATGTTGAAAATAATCTTTTTGAGACCCGGGCATTAGAACATCTACCAAGCTTATTGCTATGTTTAATGACTTACGATAAGTATGGCTCCGGCATAAATGAACGGCCAGCGAGCGCCTTGTAGCGGTCCGTCTGACAACCAGCCCCATGTCAGTGCCATTACAAGGAAGATCGCTGTGTTAGGAATAGGTACTGATGACGCACGAATTAGTTACAAGTTACGAGGAATAATGGTGGAGATATAGTCGGGGGATTGACTTACAGGTGTTGATCTCAGGAATAGTGAACGAGGTCCCAGGGACTGGAGGAGGCTGGTCGTTGAAGCTCTTCAGCCAGTAGCCCATAGCATATTGAGGGTTACCATTGTTCCAGAGAATGTACAGTAACGCTGTCGGTCAGTCTAGAGACCTCAAAGGGCTTTCGAGGAATGACATACGAAGATGGTAAGTGTGCCAGCTGGACAGAACCTTCTTGACTTTATCTTTGGTCCAAGGCTGCTTGCCAGCCCGCCCAATGGCCTGCATTCTTTTGACCGATAAAACATGTTCTTTTTCAGTTGTCCACCAAGTTCTCTTTCCATCTTGCGGCAGATTAGGAAAGAAGAAATACCCGGCTATTGCCAGTGGGATGGTGATGAGGCCGTCGATGATGAACAGCCAACGCCCTAGAAGAAGGATTAGCGTCAGATATCCCCAGATAACATTGTCAAGCTGCTCGCATGGCGAGTGGTTGAGGCCTTCAAAATCCCGGACTTACAGCCTGCACGTCCGTGAACGCCATTAAGATTTGTATACGCAGCTCCCTGAAGAAAACCACTAAACATGGATCCAACCGAGCCAGCCAGCCAGAACAGCATGGCTCGCTTGCCAATCTCCCTAGGTGTATACCAGGAGCCAAGCATATAATGAATTCCTGGATAGAATCCCGATCTGATATTGATATTAGCCTAGTGACCTGCGACAATATGGTACCGCGAGGGGCTTGAGCAAGGAAGTTGCATACTCGAAGAAGCCTACGAAGAACCGTAATACATAAAGACTCCTATATGATTGAACTGATGAGGTACATATTGTTGCTATACCCCACCCCACCTCAAGCGACGGAATGACCCATCGTGGAGAGACTCGGGTCAGCAGCAGATTTGATGGGATCTGTCCGATGACATAGCCAAATGTCCAAATGGAGGTACCTTGTCTTTCGTGTGAGAAGTGATATAAAGGGAAGAACCACATGTATACTCACTGGTCACAAGCTGATTTCCAAACATCTCCAGGTCCTCCTGCATGCCGCTTAGAAACGCGTTATTGATGTTGGTTTGATCGACGTTCTTAAGGAAATATCCCAGAGAGGCGAATGTCAGGATGAAGGCATCGACCTTGAACAGTAAACGCCTCTGATCCTGTGGTAGCTCCCATGTATCCCATATGTATCCTTTCCACGTTTTGACTGGCTCAAAAACTACATGATCCTCAGTGCTCTCTGGTGAAGCGTCGGCCAGGGGCACGTAGCCTTGCGGGCCTGGATCTCTCAGTGTTGCCATGGCCTGATATGAAATAGCAAAAATGCAAGATAGTTATAAGAGTTGTTAGAAAATCAATTAAATGTTGTTGGCAAAGGAAGATATACCATTATTCCCATGATTTGGGGTTATGCTGATCCATGTGACCAAATGTATGTGCTAATCGTTCCCTCCGATCGCGTCAGTCAACCTACGCACCACGTAATTGGCCCTTTTCAGATACCCACGCTAGAGTGTCGCAGTTGCTGATGAAGCAAGAAAGCACATAATAATTTGTATGTATTGCCTACTAGGAGCTGTATACGTATGAGTCTACCATTGGTTCGTTGCCTGCAAAGATAGCCGTCCAGCAGGAATGAAATGCTGTAGATAGTCCACATATTTATGGTTAGAAAAAACATTCTGAGAAGCTCAAGAGCTTGGCAATTGTTCTTTGTGCTTTGTAATCCTCTTATGTAGAGAGATTCTATTGGAATGGTACAGTCAGTGATCCAGCATTCTCAAAATGATATATAGCACGTCGCATCAGATCGAATTACTATACAGTCCTTGGGCTCCTCTAAGTCATTGGATTGGTTCGAATGGGAATAATTTGACCACATTATCATGTAAATTGCTTCTCGGGGTATATATTACCATAGGAAAGCTTCACGACATGTCTACTGCCTGAATCCTGACTTGTCGATGTCAAGATGTAATTCCACTAGGCTTAGATTCAGTATAGTTACTGAGATCTCTATCGACATATGTAATATTAGTATATGTTACATACAACTGCCACATGATAGTAGAAAAGTAAGGATTTTCAAGGATCAAGGTATGTAACCAATTTCTGACGTGATAAGAAGTTGCAAGCCTTGCAGCTACATCCGCCTTAAAATACTCATCTGCCGATACTTGGTCCCCATTCTACTGCTCCATTAGTATTTAAAGCGAGGCTGGTCGGTACCAGCAGCCCGTCTGTTTCTCCAGACATAGTAACCATGCATAGCGACGCAGCCAACGCTCACAAACAAGAGTAGACCAGCGTTTACCCAGTGTCCGGTAGGATAGCCCTTCTTGGCCTCGTTTGCCTTGTAGATCCAGACACCAACGATTTGACCGGGCGCCCCCATGGAAATATTGAGCGCAATGGCCAAGCCGATGGCCGCCGTGGAATGAAGGTTGGACGACAGCCAGCCTAGAAGAGGAGGGATACAGGCGAATGATCCGCACGCCGCCACGATCAGACAACCATAGCGAGGCTATCAAGTTAGAGATTTGCATGGGACTAGAGTTTCGGGCAAACGTACACTGTAAGAGTTGGCGGGAAGGGTTGCAGAGGCAATGAAGCCGATAGCACCTATCAAGGAGAACACAGCAGAGTGAAGAGCGCGGCTGATGTCAAGTTAGACAATGTTGATGCCAGAGAGATTGATACATTACTCACGCATTATGTCGGTCTGCTGACCACGAAACAAGCAATGTAACGACGTAGGAAGCTGCGTAAGGAGGCACTGTCATCAGCTGGGCTCTAAGATCCGCAAACTATATGCTGTTAGCTGGTTAAGATATCATATAATCCTGTTGCGTACCCCGAGGCCGGCTGTGATGGAAGGCGTGAAGAGCGATAGACTGGAGAATGGGGCTGAAATGCCGAAGTAGATCTTGACGCGATTAGCAAAGGGTGTTACTGTCAGAGAAAAGCAACACGTACCAGGTAGTGGCACCAGAGCCGCCCTTCCAGCAGGGTTGACTTGGCATCCTCCCATGTCATGGACTTGCTGTCGCCATGTGATCCCTGCTCAGAGAGTCTATATGCTGCGATGTCCTTTTCTTCCACAGAGAGCCAGCTAGCTGACTCGGGGAAATCTGGGAGTCCAAACCAGACGAATGCTGATGAGATCACGGAAGGGATACCCTCGAGGATGAACAGCCATCGCCAACCAGAAAGACCATGTACCTGATTCATGTGGCCGACTCCATAAGCGATGGCGCCACCAAAAGCTCCGGCCAGTGTCGCAGATGCCAAGATAGTGGCGACACGAACTGAGCGCTCTTCAGGCTTGTACCAGAAAGTTAGATAGTATACTAGACCAGGGAACAAGCCGGCCTCAAAGACACCGAGAAGAAATCGTAGAACCGTGACAACAGCATAACTGTGAGCTGCACCAAGACAGATGGTGATAGTGCCCCATGCAAACATGAGGAACGCAATCCATCTGCTGGGCTTCATCTTCTTGAGAAAGTAGTTGGACGGGACTTCGAAGAGAGCATACGCAATGAGGAAAACCATAAGTGCAATGGTAAAGTCATAGTTGGTCATGTTGGTTTCCGTGAGAAGATCATGACCGGTCGTATGGTTGAGAACCTTGGCGTTGCCAATGTTGGAACGATCTAAATAGCAGAGCAAGTAGATGCCCGCAGCCAAGGGAATGATGCGAATATCTTGCTTGCGCACCAGCTTCTTCTCGAGCCCTGGATCAATTGCCGTGGTGCTCTCCAGCCGAGAATCGGAGTTCTGCTTAAGGGCGTCAGTTGGGGGCGTTATTGGAGAAGGCGGGAGGCGTACCTTTTCATCACCAGCCATCTCGAGATTGCTATCAAAGTCGTTTCGTGCCGCCATCTTGATGTCGTAACCTCAAGTCTCGAGGATATCTCTTGGCAAGAGTCAGTGAAAACTCTGGCAAAGGAGGAGAAGGGCCAAGAAATAGAAAAATTAAGCGAGGCGAAAGGAACCGTTGCATCTCACCTCGCGGTGACCAGCCGGAGGTAAATATCCCCGCATAATTCATGCCCGCTTGGTTCCAATCACATACAAGATCTGCATCGTATTCGCGGGGTTGAGCATCTCGGTTTCGGTGGCCGACGCCGAACCCCATGTTTCACGGCGCCGAAAGGTCTGAACTTTGTACGGATAATCGGCAAAGAATACACCATTTAACTTGAAGATATCTCTGGGAGTAAGCTTAGATCATGAATTGTTTAAGGCTAAATATTTTGTCCAATCGGTGCGGAGTAGGTTCAGTCCTCCCCGATGCCGAGAGCGACTACTGATATTTCCGTTGATTACCGCCGCTGCCAAGCCTCGGCGTATCTAGTCTCAAGAAAGGCTTTGATCGATTTAACACATGACTCAGTCTTTGCTCGTTTGTTATGTTTTCTTTGAATGCGGCTTGTCTAACAGGTGCAGACACTCGGGGAGGTAAGGATTAGGGCCCAAAGTTATCTTCAGGGCAAGTTCAGAGTCGTCCTAGAGAGGAGCAGACGATACAGTCTCTTCCAACATCTCGGCCAGTCTCAAAGAACCTTGATAGATCTTCTTCCCCTCCCTGGTCTGTTCGCCTGCATGCTCTCGGTTCCAGTCCATAATGACCGAGATGTGTAAGGCGCGTGATATAAGTATCAGTAGCGGTTTCTATTAACTTAAAATAATACTCTTATTAAATTAGTTTAAGCAGTATACTAACTACTTAATATAATTACCTAAAATAAGCTTTTTAACTTATTTAATAATTATATTTAATATATAAAAAGAACT